TCTATCGGGTAGTCACATGCTCTATTCGCGCTAAAGCTAATGGTTGTTTATTGGCGCCTATTGTAGCTTGAGTGGTCGGAGTTAAGGTCAAGAACTTCAGGTCACTTTAAAGCTCGGGTCGGCTTAATAAACATAAACAATCAATCAATCAATCGATGTGGGAGGTAACCATTGAGCCTCATCTCATCTTTTTGCGAATAAAAAAATGATATTTGTCGTGATTATGTTCCTGCCTTGTCTCCCTTTTGTTCTTCTCTGCTTTCATTCATTCATTTCCTTCCAAGTTTGAAATTACAAGTAAGTTGTTCCAGATCTCCAGGGAATCCTCACGAATCAGAAACAGTCCACCACTTCGGATCTGTCCAATGACAAGTCGTTTATCTCGAATAGCCGCCCGGTGATAACATCTAAGCGCCCTGACATTGGTGATTGAACCGTGTTCGAGAAGCTTTCCTACACTCATGCGCGTAATTAAACACCATCACGGTATCGCTTCTTTACATACCGCGAATTCTCGTTCTGCAAGTCGGGGGTTTATCCCCATTTTTTGTCATCTATGGCTAGATCACTTGCAGGAAATCTACCCGTCCTACCCTCCACGCTGCCACTATCGTGATCCTTCCTGCAAGGCACCAAAGTGGCACTACGACCTTACGCCTTACTTTGATCATTTGGTTGGGTAGTTTAGTCTGGGGAAAGCCAGAAGCGGCGGGCGTTTCGCCTCCATGCATGCAAGCCCGTACCCTCCATGGCGGTACGCGCTAGCAATGGGAGAAGCGCCTAGACGACATCCTCCCCTATGTTCCCCAGCTTCCAGAAGCGCCTGCGAGTCATCACAACGACCTTGATTCGCAGACTAGCTTTTATCTAGGTCGTTTGTGCCTATCAGAACCAGATAGGCGTAGGGCTACTGAACTCGCTGTGGGTACTACGGCGCTGCTGTTCTGTAAGGTATGTAGGCGAAACTCCCAACTGCCAGATGGTACATTGCACGTGTATGTCCTGTTATCACATCACCCCCCATTGATGTACCTGGCAGTACGGGGGCAGCGTCAAGCCCAGAGGCTCCAACGCTCTTCAGATCATCCCCAAACTCCCTTGCGACCCAGCCCTAGCTACCGCCCATGATGTATCTAACTCGGAGATTTTGGTACCACGAGGACCTACTAGGGTACTTATTTTTGGAGGAATTGCTAAATTAAGATATAGCCTCAATCTGCAGCCGCTTGCGAGCTGCAGGTGTTAATTTGGACGTCACCTCTTGAAATGATATAATCCATCTTTCTTGGTTCATAAAACATCCCGCGTCTAAGATGATTACCTCAACATCCAAGTACCCTTGGCGCGCCCAACTATACCTTCTGTGATTATGATCTAATACCCAGACTACCACCCATGTTTCCTTCATCGGTCCGTTTACCAGCCAATGGAAGAGGTTTCATCTCTCCCTCGCTCCCAGCTCTAGATTTCTATTGTTTCAGCTTCTATCTTTCCTTTTTACATTGCAACGTCTCGGCGGTTGGGGATATCAGCCGACAGGCTTCGCGCTAGTCTATAGAAACAAGGTCATATTGACATCTAGTCGATTTCGAGATCAGATTTTACTATAACGCATACAGATACCCCAGCAAGTGTGTTCTAGGCTAAGAGTGACTCATTCACAATACCACACCAACATTGGTCACGATGGTCTTTCAGGGGCATATATCACTTATCACAAACCAAGTGGAGTGGATAGTCTCTGGGGTAGACCAACGCTGCCTTATATAATTTAAAAATAGAAACAGAAATATGGAAAATCACTTACAATATCCTACTCCTTTATGGAATTGCTGAGACGATGAACGGTTCAAGGACATCATCAGACTTCGTTCACCTAAGGGGGATCAACGTCTAGAAACACAGAAGACAAGAATAGCCTCATTGGGCCGTATCCAACATTCCATTGCCGCTTAGAAGATCGAATGAAGCAGATTGGGTAGCGTTGCGGGATATCCCAGATATTCCTGGCGCAGGACGTAGCTTCTTTCACCGGCTTCCCTAATTGAGTACCCCTGATAGCTTCGATGGTCGACACTGTCACATCCACATGCAAAATTTCTATCACCAACGCCAATGCACCAGGGATGGTTTTGTTTAATCAGCTGCTCATGATCAACGACCCTTGTTCATGTAGATAATAGGAGTTGGCCTTTACTACAAGCTTAACTACGTTGCAAGAGGTCTTTCCCTAGATTGTGTGGAGTTATTAACCATGATGAGTACTAATGGGGAGCAGCATATTATTATATTCATCCAGAAATGGGACATGGAGTTTTCAGAGTAAAAGAATAGGAAAAAAGCCGCCGATGGGGGGATTTTCACAGGGGGCTACACTCAAATGAGTTCCTAGACGAGATTGTTTGAACAATATACCTAGGTATACTACACTTTATTGATTAATAAAGCCCAAGGGCTCTCATTATTAGTATTTAGTTTCATATGCGTGAAGGGAAACATGAAACCGCTTAATCAACACCTTCATACGCCCTTGATAATTTAGTAATTGCATTGAATATGAACCACATACACTATACTGTATTCCGTGACTTTACAAACTGGTTCTCATAAGACCACTTAACAGTCATCACAAACGAATACGTGTTTGTTTAGCTACTTGAGCTTTACGATATCTTAGAATGTTAATTTGTGGACCTTTCATTGGTAACTGAGCAGAGCCCCTTTTCCCAATATATAGGTTAACCCAGTTAGCTACGTACAACAGCTTACAAGACTCCCTTCCCCCTTTAATACGGCCCAGTACCAGTGAGTCCAGCTCTTCCTCTGGACCAAACCGGCTTGTATAAATCATACCATCCTGCTAGATAACTTCTTATTACCCATGACATCAACAAAAAACCCTCCTGTAATATTTTCCCCTCAAGTTGATCGGATAACATGTTAACACCGATGAGCTATAATAGGAGGTTATCATAATGTCAGTGAGTTTATGATGTAATGCAATCTCTTCTATAGATAAACTTGTCAGGTTAGAAACTTGCGCGTTAATTTCCGCATAGAGATGTAAATTTCCTTCTCGTTGAGTCCGATTTCATCAAGACCAAGTGACACAGTTTCGATCCTAATCTCTCAGTAGCCCATACTTCCAATTCCTCCGCACCCATCACAGTTCTCCTGTGTTTACTAACATCACTATGACATGGCATGTACTGCCCTGTAGTGGACGACATACAAGTCGGGAGATTAAATCCCGGGCGAGTACCAAGTTCCAACTAAACGAAGCAGTTGCTCGTAATATCCTGCAATATATGTAGTAGGCTATTCCAGCCTTGTTATATATCGCTCCGGTAGATGGACTGGTTTACTGGTATTACAATGAAAGGGAACAACCGGGATAATATACAACTTGGGTAGGGCTTAGTTCTAAGCGGAGGTGAGATCTGTCGATCTGGCACTCCCCACGATCTCAAAAGGAAGCGGTTGATCTGCATATTCAAGAATCAAGATTGGCACATACCTCCTCACATGTAATTGGGTACCTACCTAAGGTCTTATCTCCTCTTCTTCAACGATCGCCAGTGTGTTGATGTAAGGGATTCAACAATTTTCCTTATTCCAGAGTCTTTGCTCGGAAATGAGCCATCTATTGTCAATATCTGACTCGACCTTTTGATGTTAGTTATCTAAGTACATTCTTCTAACATAGCCGTCCTTCCCTCATAGATGATCTTATCGAAGTGTGGAAACTATATCCTCAGTCTTACGCTTACGATAGTATTATCGCACTTATCGAGTGCGCGAAGGAGCTTTAGTCTCGGTTGCTATGAGAAACCTGCTCACTTGATCTGGGGTCTGACTTTAGCAGGCTGTTAATATCTCCGGGCATACGTTGTCAACGGATACATAATTCCTCGAGACATAAGGTCATGCAAGGCGCACTTAGCAACATTCCTCGTTGTTGAGAAAACGGTATGGTATTTGACTCTAGCTCAACTCCGGGTGTTGTGGGTGAAATAGGGGTTGGAATATCAGGATTGGGTTTTGGAAAGGAGAGGCTAGGTGAGTTTCAACTATTTGATTACTTCACTGCAAACCACGAAGGGCAGTGAAGGGTTACTATTTGGATTCGGTAGAGGCGTTTTACTCATGTATACTAAGTAGACAGACCCCCATAAACTCTCTTGACTACCTAGGTACCTAAGTGCTTAATAGAAAAGGAAGTGTAGCTCGACGAGCCTTACATAGCGATTTCATTGTCGTGCGAACTTATACAAGAATATCGAAAGAAAAGATCTAAAAGTGAACTGATCATTGTGAATTGAAATTGTAGTATACGGACAACCACCCCCTTTTTACCCCTGTTATTAAAAATGTAGTCACTCCGTCACAGGAATCCGTTTTCTTCCACGACGGAACTAGACGCATTTTTGCAACGTACCTTAGGTATATAACACGATTTGCAATTACTGTCTTGAATAAAGACATCCGTCTTTGGGTCAGATACAGCTTAATGCCGTCCGCTGGTGCGATTCTTCGTCGGATTATCCAAGTGGGATTTCATAATCCTAGTCCCGATCAAATGACAACATGCTCTTGTTTCTTTTACCATTAGAAAATATCCTATTATGCTCGAAACATGCGCTGAGTCTTTCAAGAGGCATAGCAACTTCATACTTACTCCCAGTCGGTATAATTACCATCTTTGGTTCTATTCCCAAGTCCTAGGTTAGTTACTGGTTATTAAGGTTATATCAGTCAATCTGGTATTATACTAAAAATAAAATACATTCTTTCTTTATTTTATAAAAAAGACTTAAAACTTTGATGGTTACTACTAGTGCCCAGTATACGTAAGATTTTCAATTACTGCCCAGATGTTTAAACATTATGTCACTTCCACTTCCACATCCACTTGGAAGAGTTTTCAGGTCCACTGCCAAGTACCCACTCACAAGGTATGCTATGCTATAACAGTCAACATTCAGCAAACAATTACATCCGGGCTCATGGCCTAATGGTAAGGCGCCAGATTTCGGTTGACTGAAATCATATGCTATTCTCTGGAGATTGCAGGTTCGATCCCTGCTGGGCTCGATTAACTTTTTTGTGTTTTGTTTCACCAATTATTTTTTCTCCCTTTTTTTCTCTTTTCCCCAAGAAGAAATTAAGAATACCGGTACTTAGTTATTTCCGTACCTCCGTACGTAAAGATGGTACGCTTATTTTCATATTGAAACGAATCAAGTCAAATTTGTTAATCGCCGAAACCCCAGTTTTCATAACGCCGAGCTCAACTCTTCATTCATCATATCTCCGATCAGCGTGGGGATTTCAGTGATTTGTGTCAGCGTTAAATGTTACTGCTCTACTGCTGTACCTAGCAGCCCAAGGTATTCTGAGGCTGAAAGCTTTACGCTGAGAATTATGTTGATGATATTTGAAGACTTCAAATCCCTGGGCGGGTTCCCGAGGTCGATAATCTCATAAGTCGCCTAATTGTAAAGGCAATCTTATCGTTTTAGTAGGGTTTTATTGTGTGGGGTTAACAGAACGAGCCCCTTGAGTTTTGAATGAAATGTAAGATAATGTAAAGTCCGAATGTGTGCTCGTACCTAAGCACCTGCATGCAGTCTCTGGTTAGAATCTGACTGCATACCCGGCTTCCCACTAGCGCCTCATAGAGAGTATATACATTGGCGTCAGATACTCAAAAAAGGCAATCGGATCTCGATTAGGATAGTTGACTACCTAGGTACATTGCAAGAACAATCAGTTAGATATCTCAAGTCTGTACAATAGTAGAACGACCGGATATAATGTAAGAAGGAAAGTACCCCATATGCGACTTGGGTTATAATATATGAGCTTAGGCAAAGTATATATAGGTAATTATCGAAATTCTAAATAGCATGTATACATAATGATAATGGAAAGCGAGTTGCAAAATATATTAGAAGTGAGATAATTCATATTGATAAAGTGAAGGTCGTACAAATGCAGTATCTGGTGACCATGACAAATGGAGATGCTTTGCCTTCTATTTTATAGTACATGCTATGCGTGACAAATACATTACCTGTCATTTGCCGCCCTGTACTCAGCAAATTGCATCCTGTATTTCAGCCTCAAAGGTTATGTCTTGCGGGCACGATGCTGGGGCGGATCCATACGTTTCCTTATCGGCCGGGTTTGGCGATTTGGCGATTTGGACGCTACGTTAGTAAGAAGTCACGGACAGTCTATTGGACTCATACCATGGAATACTTTCCGTTCATGTAGTAAACCTGAGCGAGTGGTAATCTTGGCTGCGAAGTTGTGTTGGGACGTCGAGGCGATTATTAGATGCAGTACCAGTTGCAGCTGTCCGGGCCAATAGTATTATTACCGGAGATGCCGGAGACCGGCAAATTCGGATTTGGGACCCGGGTGTGGCAGGAGAGCTACAGTCGGAATGAATATTGCCGGACAGGATTTCAACTACCGTGATTTTCGGACCTAGGCTCTCTCAACTCTGTCCGTATTTGAACCCTAGTAAGCTGTGAGAAGGAAGATCTCTACGTCGAGTGGCAGACAACTGGGGGTTAAAATCCATATGCTATGTAAATGAGGAGTTGAGATGAGAGATTAGATGCTAACTTGAGAGTTTTTGATAAATATTTAAAGTATGCAGGTAAGATTTTCTCGGTTATTTCTCTCTTGGCTCATGAACGACCAGAGTTACATTTGTTAAATGTTACAAGCTTCGAAAGTGTTGGGCTGGTAGATTTCTTTGTAAGATACTTATCTAGGTAAGTATGATCGTATGCAACTATATTCTGCATCCGAAGACGAGGAGGTAAAGATATACCCCATTAAGAAATTATGTGTCACGATTTCATCCTTGAATTATGAAGCAATAAATCGAATTACTAGCCGAGGAATAAGTATGGTCATAGCAGATGCCCGTGGCGATGTTGTCGTATTTTAATCGTGGTTTGGTTTGATAAAGTGTCGGTTAAGTTGCCGTTGTAAGAGTGAACTTGGATCGCTCGGATAAGTCTGTTAAGCATCTTAGGTAGATAAGATATTACGGATTAGATGGATGTCATCACAACCTTGAATATTGGTAGTGTACCAAATCTTATAGCCGTGGGTATGACCGTAGGTTTAAAAATAACTCCCGAAAGAGACAATCGTCAATAGAGAAAGGAGAGTCAAGGAAGCGGATATAGGTATGGTGCGAGAGGAAAGAGGGAGCTATCGTAGGACCTATCTTTAAATCCAGCCGAAGATACTCCTTCGGTCTCAAAATCCATATGTCCCAATCATGATTGCCAAGACTAGTTCTATTGGAGTAATCCCATTGACGCTAGTGCGTTGAACCTTTTTTTCGCACATGAATGTATGGGAATGTATTGTACACCTTAAGAATAGAGGTAAACCGCAACGGAGTTTCCTAGCGCTTTAGGGCGTTTCCTTTCCCTCCCGGATAGGCGGATGACCAAAACGTTTCCGACAACCACAGTAGGCAAGTGAACGGTCAAGGTTAATTGATTAAGCCATCCATCCATGAACCTTTTTTATTGTTAGGTTAATACTAATAATAATAATAATTACCTGGGTATACATTTGGTCTTTTTTTTACTTTTTGCTTTCTTAAACCTTTCGGCTTTCGTACTACCGGACTTCTTCTCAATCTGGTATATTCTTAAGTCCTCATCAACCAACTCGCGCCCGCGCCGAGGGGATCTATTCCCTGCCCTCGTTTGGTCTGCTTCGCTGAGGCTTGAGCTGAGGTTATTATTATTTCCGTCCGATTCTCAATCAAGCTTGTCCTTTTTCTTTTTCTTTTAATAACAACGGGAAAGTTCTTTTCCCCGGGCCACGATGGACTCTCGGCCCGGTAGCTACCAGACAAGTGTCTTTCGCGCGCAGCCGACCGAGGGACTCCAACGCAAGATCCAAAAGCGCAATCGTCCTCCCGTCTCATGCCTGTTGTGCCGGACGCGCAAGTGAGTAGTCCCCGGTCTCTTTGTTTTTAGTCCCCGCTCATAATCATCCTCTCATAGGGTGAAATGCGACCGCCAGCAGCCATGTGAAAGGTGCGTTAAGAGTGGCGAAGCAAACTTCTGCGAGTATGCACCTCGTGCTTCTCGCAAGACGCGCACGGATTCGCGGCCGCAAGTGGATACCCGGTTGAGACATGAGCCCATGTCGAGACCCGTACTCCAGGTCCGTCTTCAGAAACTTGAGGAGATGGTCAACGGCCTAGTCTATACCGCGCGCGGTAGAGAACCTGCTCTTGATACCCCATCAAGCTCAGATCAGCGAACGGAAACTACTGAGACTCGCTCCGATCTAAGCTCACCACCCAGTCTAGCGGGCTCAGGAGGACCACTTCTCCCCACCACCATGGGCGGCGAGCATAATTATGTCGGCGCTACCCATTGGGCTTCAATTCTTGAAAGCATTCACGACATTCAAGGCATTCTCTCTAATGAGACAGATGGTCCTCCTACCCCCTCACCCCCGCCGGAGAAAGCAAGCCCGGACAGCCCAGACGTGGTCTTTGGCAAGCTTCCGCCCATAACCCTTTCGCAGGCCGTTGCACGGTTACCACCCAGGAGCAGGACGGACGCACTCATACTCGTCTACTTCCGCCATAAGTTCATGACGGCTCCGTACATCCACACAACCAAATTTCAAAGAGAGTATGACGCTTTTTGGGATGACCCGTCTTCTGCCAGCCTGTTATGGATAAGTTGCCTTGCCTCTATGCTATGGGTTGCCGCATCGATATCTCGTATGAAAGGCGAATCCGATGAATCCGAGGCAAATCTCCCCGATAATTTGACCGCGTTGGCGACCGAGTGTCTCGTGTCCGGGGACTACCTGTCTGCCAAGCCCTATTCTATTGAGGCGCTCCTCCTGCATAGCTATACGGAGTTACAAAAGGCTAAGGAAATTGACTCTAGCTTATGGGCCAAATTCGGACTCACTGCTCGGCTTGCGCAACGGATGGGATATCACAGGGATCCAAAATACCTCTCTAACATCACACCGTTCGAAGGCGAGCTTCGTAGGAGAGCCTTTTTCTTCATCGAGGTGTTCGATGTCCTTTTCTCGTTCCAGCTAGGCATGCCCCCGATCATTCGCGACGATGAGTGTGATACCGAGCCCCCCAGCAACCTGTTTGATTTTGACTTTGATGAGAACATCATGGCGCTTCCTCCGTCTCGGCCGGCAACTGAGCCCACTTCCACTTTATACCTGAGTTACAAATCAAAGTTATGTCGAATGTTACGTCGGGTAATTCGGATCGCATTGTCAATCCAACCTCCGCCATATGAAGAAGTCATAAAACTGGACGAAGAACTCCATCAGTACCACACCCAAGTGCCCCCTTCATTACAAATAAGACCGATACGTTCGTACAGTTTCACGGACCAAACATATGACATTATGCATCGTCTTATGTTAGAAATGATGTATCTCAAGAGCCTTTGCGTGTTACACAGGCCCTATCTGAACCGGGAGAAGGACAACCCTAAATATGATAGGTCACGGACTGCATGTCGAGATGCAGCTCTAAGGATCCTAGATCTACACGCCGAGTACGAAGAGGAGAGTAAACCGAACGGTCGCATATACGAGGATAAATATATGCTTTCAGCCTTAACACTCCACGACTTCCTGATTGCGGCGATGATTTTATGTCTGGATCTTACGGAAAATCTACCAAGCAGGTGAATTAAAACTGGGTGGCACTCACCATCTATATGGCTAACAACAATATAGTCAAACAGACCGAGTGAGGAAACTAAAAGCGTTAGGAACATCTTACAAGATGTGGTCCGAAAGGAAGCATACTTCCAAGGACGCAGCTCATGCTACTCGGGTTGTTGGCGCTATTCTTCGGAAGGTATCGATGCAAGACCCTGCCGTCAATCGTTCACCGCCGCCACCCCCGAAGCCTGACGTCCGAGACGGCTCGCTAGCTAGCTTGCTTAATAGTGACATTACGCCCGCACCCGTCACGCCAGCATCCTCATTTGATCCTACGATACCCCCTTTCGACTTTTCTTCCTTGGACTTTATTAACAACTTACCACTTG